CATCTTGATAAAAATCATTCTCATAATATTGGTCATATTGTTGATAATTCAAATGGTGTGTTTGTTGATTATTTGGTCTGCTAAAACTTGGATTCGATTGAATGGTAGGTTGTCTTTGATTGTTGAAGTTCGGGTTAGGTCTTATGATTGATGGTCGGTTTTGTTGAAATTGATTGGGTGGTTGATATTGATTGAATTGAGGAGGTCGCTGTACTGGATTTGGGGTTTGAAATGGTCTTGAGGGTCCAGCTTGATTGAAATTTTGTTGGTTTGGTCTTGGAGGGTATTGTGGTCTATTTTGGGAATTCTGTTTTGCGCGGCATTCATGAATCAAATGTCCGGTACGTCCACAATATGAACATTGTTTTATTTGTTGAGATGAAATCGGTTTTCGAACAGAAACTGCATTCGGATTTCGATAGCTTTGTGAGTTAGGCAATTTTTGATTTTCGAAATAACTCAACTGCATTTCTCGTCTGATACGAGTAATTGCGGTTAACATATCGGTTGGGGTGCCTGCTCGAATTATTTGACCAAGTTTTGGATCTAATCCAGTCAACAGGGTGTTCAAACTCATAGTTTCTATAAGCCTGGACTGCGCGCCTCTTTGGTCTGGTGGCAAAATTTGTTTATTTACAGCGGCGTGCATTTTGGCATTATGCGTTTGCAATCGTTGAACGAATGTCATTGCATTTTCGCCGGGAAGTTGACGAAGTCTTTGGAGATCTTGAATTAATGAAGTCAAGTCTCTGGAATCGCCAAAGTGGGTATCTAAAAGATGTCTAACTTCTTCCCAAGTAAGTGGGTTTCTCGAATTCACTAGCTCTGCAGCACGTCCACGTAATTTATTTTTTATGTGAAGTGTTACTAGTAGTCGTTGTTCGTCGACTGCCATTCTGTAAGCGGTATTACAGGCTTGTAAAAAGGTGGTTAAAAATATTGGATTGCCATCATATTCCGGTATGATGGAAAATATTTCATTGAGTCTGTATGGCTCAATTTCTGCAGGTGGTCGTGGTGGTGCCACGTTTACGTTATCGTCATTCATTGCAATTGGTTTTTTGTTGAAATGTGACAAAAAAGGGGAAACAATTGGATAATGGAACAGTTACTTGGTTGTTTCAAATTTGAAATGCGGTACGATTCAATATAGTACTTACAGGATCAGTATCATTGAGTTCGTCGTGTTCTCGTCGATTCTGCCAGGGGCTTCACCAGGTGTTCCTTCCACAGCTCTTCGAGTGATGACTCCCTCAGGTTGGTTCTTTGATTTCGGCAAAGGATTGGGATCCACCGTCACTAGTTAGGTCGTTTCCGTGTTCTAGCAACGTCACGAAATCCGTACGACTGCGCCAATTTGTTATCTCGTGGTTTTCGAAATAGACTTTTTAAAAACAATTTTATTTATTCCGGCATAGATTAAGTTTATACAATGAGCTTTATATCAAGACTAACTTTTTGATACAATATAAAATGAATTTATATTAAAAATAATGCTGATGCCAGCGTCAGCAGATATTATATTCCATTTCTGCGGATGCTGACTTCAAGGTCAAGATCATGTTCTGAGGAATTGTTATCGATGGTAAGTTGATACTACTGAGAACAATGGGAACTGATTTTAGCATATAACATATATTACAGCTAAGGTTTGCTCGTCACAATGAATTTGTTCGAAAATTCGGATTAATCTTTCTTCAAGTCGATTAATCATTGAATTTATGATTCATTTTGTGATTTTCTACAGCAAAAAAAGGTACAATACTATCACTATAGTTGGTACTAAACTCACCTATTTGTGTTTCAATTCATTTTTTTTCGACCCTTTTTCGACCCACCATGTTCCACTTGTGGTCCTTCTCTTATACAAACCCGTAATTTGTCAAAATTCCAGTTTATTTCTTCACGGACTTCATATTCACAAGCGTCCATATAAACCAGATACCTAACTTCTTATGTCGTCTCCTTCTGTCCAATACAGGGTGATATTTTCAAAACTTCTCACCCTCAATATCTTGCTTCCAGTAAATAATATGAAAAATCGAAAAGACAGGTCGATTTTATTTTCAATAGATTCAAATAGTGAACGAAGAAACATTGAGAATCAAATGATCTTCATCAAGATTCCATCTATCACGCTGATGATTATTTCCATTCCGTGATCGTGATGAAACGTAATTCAAATATTGTTCAATAAGAGACGGTACGTCCGGTCGTATAAGTATACATTTCCTCGATGAAGGCAGATAGGAATGTATCGGACTTTGGTACCTATCGGGTCTTTGATACAATGGCAGATTTATTTCGTTCCGATGGAATGTAACCTCGACCTGAAATTCTTTAAGCAGATATTCTGCCCCTGTCAGATCTGCAAAAATATTGCCACACCTATCATATTGTTCCGACGAAAAGATAATTAATATAGCTACGCAACGCTATCGTTGTCAAATATCGCATCAAACATGATCAAACTCACCCCTGATTTATAAATTCAATAACGTGACGTAAAGGAAGGTTTTTGAAAGAGGTATCATGACGAAATTCAAAATATTTGACAATTCCATGAGTTTTATTTAACATTCCGGGACTGGCGTGAACTTTTTTGTAATCGGGAACTGGCGTGAGTCTGTGAGTACGCATTCTGAATCAAGGGTTATTTTGATTTTTTATATCAAAACTCCTGAAACGTCCTGAAATAAATCAGGAAACATTTATTTTGCACCCGAGAAATAAATCAGGGACATAGTCATACTCAGTTGGAATATAAGTTCGATTTGTAACCAAGTATGATAGCAGAGGACCAGGGTTCGAATCCCGTGGCGGTCGTCATTTTTTAATTGAATATATTGGCAGACTTGTAACTAGCCCTGCTGACAGCCAGATTTTGATACTGTCCCATCAATGTTCACATGAATTTTGCCGTTATTGCCAATTCTGGCCAGCATATTATGGGCCAGCATGAGGCCGACCAGAATTGTTTGCTTAGTAGAATCTTCCAGAATGCTCTAAAATCTACCAAAATGCAGAAGAATTTTTTTTATCCTTGAAAATCTTCCAGAGCGCTTCTAGAATCATCCAGAATGCTTCAGAATCTCTCAAAATGCTCTAGAAACTTCACCAGAATGCCGTAAAATCTTCCAGGATGCTCTAGAATCATCCAGAATGCCCCAGAATCTTCCAAAATGGTCTCGAATCTTCCAGAATGCTCTAGAATCTTGCAGAATGCCCTAAAATTTATCAAAATGCAAAAGAATTTTTTGTTACGTTTAAAAATCATCCAGAGCGCTCTAGAATCAACCAAAATGCTTCAGAATCTCTCAAAATGATCTAGAAACTTTACCAGAATGCCGTAAAATCTTCCAGGATGCTCTAGAATCATCCAGAATGCCCCAGAATATTCCAAAATGGTCTCGAATCTTCCAGAACGCTCTAGAATCTTGCAGATTGCCCTAAAATTTATCAAATGGCGAAAGAATTTTTTTTATGCTTAAAAATCATCCAGAGCGCTCTAGAATCATCCAAAATGCTTCAGAATCTCTCAAAATGCTCTAGAAACTTCACCAGAATGCCGTAAAATCTTCCAGGATGCTCTAGAATCATCCAGAATGCTTCAGAATCACTCAAAATGCTCTATAAACTTCACCAGAATGCCGTAAAATCTTTCAGGATGCTCTAGAATCATCCAGATGCCCCAGAATCTTCCAAAATGGTCTCGAATCTTCCAGAATGCTCTAGAATCTTGCAGAATGCCTTAAAATTTATCAAAATGCAAAAGAATTTTTTTTGTTATGCTCAAAAATCATCCAGAGCGCTCTAGAATCATCCAAAATGCTTCAGAATCTCTCAAAATGCTCTAGAAACTTCACCAGAATGCCGTAAAATCTTCCAGGATGCTCTAGAATCATCCAGAATGCCCCAGAATATTCCAAAATGGTCTCGAATCTTCCAGAACGCTCTAGAATCTTGCAGAATGCCCTAAAATTTATCAAAATGCAAAAGAATTTTTTGTTACGCTTAAAAATCATCCAGAGCGCTCTAGAATCATTCAATATGCTTCAGAATCTCTCAAAATGCTCTAGAAACTTCACCAAAATGCCGTAAAATCTTCCAGGATGCTCTAGAATCATCCAGAATGCTTCAGAATCTCTCAAAATGCTCTAGAAACTTCACCAGAATGCCGTAAAATCTTCCAGGATGCTCTAGAAACATCCAGAATGCCCCAGAATATTCCAAAATGGTCTCGAATCTTCCAGAACGCTCTAGAATCTTGCAGAATGCCCTAAAATTTATCAAAATGCAAAATAATTTTTTGTTATGCTTCAAAATCATCCAGAGCGCTCTAGAATCATCCAAAATGCTTCAGAATCTCTCAAAATGCTCTAGAAACTTTACCAGAATGCCGTGAAATCTTCCAGGGTGCTCTAGAATCATCCAGAATGCTTCAGAGTCTCTCAAAACGCTCTAGAAACTTCACCAGAATGCCGTAAAATCTTCCAGGATGCTCTAGAATCATCCAGAATGCCCCAGAATATTCCAAAATGGTCTCGAATCTTCCAGAACGCTCTAGAATCTTGCAGAATGCCCTAAAATCTACCAAAATGCCAAAGAATTTTTTGTAATGCTTGAAAATCTTCCAGAATGCCGTAAAATCTTCCAGGATGCTCTAGAATCATTAAGAATGCAGTATAATCTCCCAGAATGCTCCAGATTCTTCCAAAATGGTCTTGAATCTTCCAGAGAACGCTCTAGAATCTTCCAGAATGTTTCAGAACGCTGTAGAACCTTCCAGAATGTTCCAGAATATTCCAGAATGTTCCAGAATATTCCAGAATGGTCCAGAATATTCCAGAATGTTCCAGAATATTCCAGAATGATCCAGAATGTTCTAGAATCGCCCATATTGTTGAAAAGGGTCGTATTTTGGTGGAAAAAAATTTAGAAAATTGTTTTTTTTTGTTTCAGGTGAGCGAGCGGGTGCTCCCTGAAGAGATGATCGTGTCATGCGCGCCGGCCTGTGCACTGTGAGCGCCCCATTGGCCGCGTGCACCCCCGCAGCCCTTCCTCCCACAGCCAGGTTCCTGGCGCTGCATTTGCTCAACCAGCAGACGCTGTACTTCGTCGTGCAGGCCAAGAGTAGGGTGAGGGAGCTGTACCAGCAGACATGCAAGCACTTCCAGCAGCAGGGGATGCTCGATACCGATCTGTTCGGGTTGGCTCTCATTTGTGGTGAGTTTCAAATCGGATATACTGTTTTTTAGCACCAGAAAAAATATAAAAAATTGAAAAAAAATAAGAAATAAAAAAATTAAATGAAGATTTAATAGTATATTTGCACCACCACTATTTCTACACCATATCAACGATTTGTTAGAAGCAACTTCATGTCCAGTACACACGAGAGTACACAGCTTCGCGGATGATAGTACCCTCCATACCGCCTTCTCTTCCAGGGCTCCAATACCAGCCAGGCAAGTCAAAAACGAACGGGGGAGAAATGTTGACAACATAAATATGGACTTGGCAACAATTATTCTCGAATGGGGATCCAATAACTTGGTAGATTTCAATGCAAACAAAACACAAGCATGCCTTTTCTCTAGAAAAGCCGATCTCACTGTGCCCAACATGAGCTTGTCAGGAGTAACCATACCTTCGAAGACATCTATTTCGATGCTTGGTAGTACTATCAGCAATAACCTTTTTTGGGAAAATTACGTGACATAAATTGCGAAAAGTGCATCCCAAAGACTTGGTTTTCTGTTTCGGCCAGGAGCTATTTCACTTCCAGTCAGCTGCTTATGATCTATAAGGCACAGATTCGACCTGTCCTGGAATACTGTTCCCATATTTGTAGTGCAGCACTCAAACATACCCTGAAACTATCGGATTCTGTCCAAAAAAGGGCAATTCGTCTCGTGGCTGGTGCCTCGCTCACAAACTCACTTACTTCTCAGGGACACCGTAGAAAAGTTGGCGATCTGACTCTATTTTATAGATATTTTCATGGACGATGCTTTTCTGGAATATCAACGATTGTTCCTCCCTTGGCAGTCCCCGCGAGATTAACCCGTCGAGTTAAGGCTTCGCACCCCTTCGAGGTCACTTTGGAGACCTGCAGAACATCTCTGTCCAAAGACTCGGTCATCCAATGAACAGCGAGACTCTGGGACAAATTGCCAAGGGAAGTGTTCCCCGAGGCATATAACCTCCAGAAATTCAAGAAGAACACCAATTCCTACCTTATATCCCTTGGTTCTCACGATGTTCTCTAAACATTACGGGATATCCCTTCTCGGGGAAACCAGAACATAAAAAAAAATATGTGTTGTAAGAAGCATATTATGCACCAATGGAAAAGTTATGTAATTGCTTTACAACACGCAATTCAATATTCTGTGGTTTAACCAGGAAAGAAGCCTATAGTTGTTTTCTGTTATATATTATCGATATTTTAACAATGGATTTTTTCATTTATCAAAAATGATCTCTACCAAGCAAAATAAGACCATGTATGGCGTCCATATTTTTTTATTCCGCCAAGATAAGTGCCTATCGACGAACCACAATGGCGGAGTTTAAAAACCCATAATATTACGACGTTCCACCGGTGTTACACTTATTGTTCGGACCAGCCATCTGTTCGGTCGTACTAAGGAAGGTAAAGGCCGCCTCAACTTTAAAGGTTGAATATTTCTCGAGATGAAGAGAACTAACTCCAACTCTCTCGCTAGCTGGCACGCTGTTGCCAAGTCGATTCCAGCGATTCCCAGAAAAATCGATCAACAAGTTATCTGAAGATGCAACAGGTGATCAACAGGTGATCAATAGGTGAACAGCAGATAGAAAGAATACGAGAGAGTCGAGGAGAGAGTACACTATAAATTTTGAGATCGATTGCTGAGGTGCATTTATTGAGATATAGTGAAACTTCTTCATGCTGTTTCGACAAAATTCAGGAAATAAAGTACTGAATAAGTCCAGGTATAATTTTGAAAAATGTCTAGCAATTCTTAAGAAATTTTCAAATATTGAAGATTATTTTCTTGCGTACTTAAGTCCCATCTCTAATTACTATCGAGGATGTGCAATTGTGCATGGTGCAATATTCTTTTTGGAGGTGAATACTAGGAGATAGCCGAAATAGGTAATGTTTTTATCGATAGATACATATTTAATTGTATATGAAAGTTTTATTCTCATGGCAAAAATTCGAGAATGAAGCGAGTGAAACAATCGTGACGCTTGCTCGACTCTACTGTCCTTGATTCGAGAGGTTTTGCCAAAAGACGATAAAATATGAATACAATTTGAGATGTATTTATCAATAAAAATATTTCTTGAATGTATTCTCGGGAGAATACACATATATTTACTATTTCTATATATATGGCGTATCGTCTATACGATAACTCAACGAAAATGGGACAAAAATGAGAGGTTCATTTTGAATCTATAAGGACGGAAAGTGAAGGATGGAAACAGCCATACTCGACAAGATTCGTATATTTTTTCCCTACGTCGGCATCAACGCCTATTGGTCGTTTTTGTTACCTATAGAGACAGAAGTTGGTCCCGCTTTGAGGACAGCTATGCTGCATATATGGGTAGTGACGTTGACAGTTGTTGTCAAAGTATAGAAATATGTACGGCAACCGGCTTTTTCTTTGAGAAAACAGCATTTTTCCGATCTTGTCAGGGAAGTATCACTTCGTTGTTGTCACTGTAACTATGAAAATCTTGGTAGATATAGTTTTGATGAAGGCAGATGATCATTATGCCATAGCAGCTAAATACCGGCTGACAGATAGTTGACACGAAATTAGTAGGCGTTTTGATTTTTGAAAGTTTGGTTGCAATCATCGCAATAAATTATCGAAAGCAGCAGTGGTAGTGCGTTTAGAAATGTCCATATGAAATTTTCCATATGAAATTTTTACCACGTATTGTCCGAGCTTGTTACGTCAATTACTATATCGCGGTTATTGCGAGGGTTATTGGGACAGCTAGATAGCTTTTTATCACTACAAATGCTGGTAAATTGGCATTTAATTGGTTGGTTTCAGGAAATTAAAGCAATCAATGAGGTTGCATGAATGTATATCATTATGCACTAGAATTTTTGAGATTTTCCCTCCTCTATTCTATGAATAAAATTATAAATCAATTCGAAATACCAATATTTGATGGTTTTTTTGTGACGCCCTCTTATATACTCGATATTCCCATGGAACATATCCGTTATTTCCAATCAATCCCGACAAATTCGAGGATCATCAGGCTCCTCCTTCTGCATTCCAAGCCTGCCCGCGAGACGTGGCAACGTCGCGAGTCTCGACGGCGCACGACCGGCTCTTGGTCGCACCGGCCGGGTCAATAAAAATCGGAGGGGCCCTGAGGCGAAAAAACGCGACCGAAAAAACAATCGAGCGCTGCCGCGCTGCTAAAGACAGGTAGCCGCGTCGCGGGGGACAGCGAGGAGAGGGGAGGGGGTCGGATCGGGATCATTTGTATGAGCGGGGAATGCGCCCGGCCCGGTACAATCCCGGCCAAAAAGAGGGGGTCGCCGGCCGTGTTGCCAGGTCTCGGGATTATTCCGTAGATCGATGGTTTCTTGTTGGTTTCTCAGAAAATGTGAAAAGAAGCATATCGTCTGCTGTCTATGTAACTATTCCGACGAGAGCCTAGAGCTTACGAGACATTCTCAAACCTCATTGGTTATAATTGATCACGTGGTACATGAGGCCCTTATTGGTTATAATAGATCACGTGCTAAATTGAGTTTGTGTCTTGTGTTTTGGTTGTGTATTATATTGCTTTTGAGTTTTTGACTTATATACTTTTTGACTAGTTCAGTTTGTTATATGAAGTGTTATCAATCTGTTTTCGTCTCAGTTTTCCTGTTATTAAAGTGTATGTGTGAAAACAGTAGGAAAATGAATATGTATTTTTTTTCAACAGAGTATTATCCTCATCCTTAGAGCAATAAGGATATAATCAACTCCCTCATCAGTAAGTAATAATAAATACTTAGCACAGATTGATGTAAATGGCACCCGTTATATTGAATAAAAAGGCTCATGTTTTCGAATTATTTCATTTATTGATTACATCATTTATATCATTCATAATGTATAACATATGATAAAAAGGATGTGGGCCTTGTTGTCAAATTCCAACTTCTCAACGTTGATGAAAAACACTATGTATGAGACATTGTCACAGATGTTTTGAAAATTGATATTGGGGTATTTGCGAGGGTATTTGTGACTAGTCCAAAGCGACTGCCTACATCAAAGTTTTTGTGGTCGCACTAGGCTAAGAAATTGCGAAAAGTACCTAGATTATTTTGAATAGTGAGAAAAAAACTAAATCGCCCTAAGAATAGGGGTGCATGGGGTGGACCAAATTGTAATACTGTATATTAATACGAATGTCACGTCTATATGTGTTATGACAGACTCAATACTGGACAGCTTTCAGTCATACCTACCTACAATGTTTTTTCTACGAATACTATTGAAAGACCTCCAAAATAACGAATAAAAAATATCAGGAATTCAAAATTACAATCACAAAGTTTGGGAACGTATATGGTTCATGAAATACCCAATGTTATGATACTTAACCATTTACTTGTTTTGAAATACAGAGCAACCTATGTTTATCGTTGTTATTTGTGAAAATAGGTGTGAATTTTTATGAAAAGCATAATTTCATTCAAATTTCAATGAAGACACTTTTCCATTTACTGATACAAAACTTACAAAAGAAGTATTCATCTCTCTGGTCTGGTTAGGATTAGAGAAGAATCAATATATTAGCAAACATTCTGGAACAATTGCTCACTTGGAATGACAAGAAGAAGGTAATCATGGCAAAAAGTCCATGTATTTGTGAGAAGATCATATCGAGCACCACCTAAGTATAAGTTTTAACACTGGTACCGTTGGTGTTAAAAAAGGAGTACTTTCAACAGTGCTGGGTAGAAAAAAGATCAGATTGGGTTAGTGTTATGTTACTATCTATTTTTCCATATTTAAAAAAAATCCTTGTCTGTTTCTTATTCGTTCTACGATCCAACTTGCTCTATTTCTCTTTGTAATAAGCTATGAAAGTTTTCCGAAAAAAATAAAGGCGTTGATGGTGAATTTCTATCATTACCTCAATGAAAATTTCAAAAAAAAAATAAATAACCAGAATGTTGACAAACTTTGAAACTGGTTGGT